ATTATTACTAAGTAGATATAAGTAATGAGTAGGAGGAGTCAAAGATGACTCTGTTGGACCACCAACGTCAATTACAGTTACCATTATTTTCCTCCAATCTACAGCCATACGTCTAATCTAACTACTACCTTGCTTCTACCAGCTGTAGTACTAATGATCTTTATACAATCCATTTTATAATGGCTTGCTTTACTCTCAGGATAAAGCCCAGTTTCTTCATATTATAGTAGAAATATTATGTCCACTTTTGATCTTGTGGGAAACATTTTCCACTGATTCTGTCTGGTTCCACCTTGTTTTTTGTTGGTTTTTTTCCCCACCTTGTTTTTTAATGTTCAAGTTCTCTACCCTCTTGTTAGTGGTCTTGTTCTGGATTGTGAGAGCTCACAGGTGGAGGACACAGGTATTCCTTCCATTTCTTAGTTCTGGGCTGGAGGAGTCTTCTCTCCCTTCCCTTTGATTAATATTTCCTTATTTTTCAAGCCTAAGTAGCCATTCTTTAGACTTCCTCTTCTGGTTCTATAAATATGTCCTACAGAATATTTGTCATATACTTTGAACTGTTGTTCCTGTCTTTCTGTGTCTAAGGGAGAATATACATAGAACAAGCTTAATACTTATGAATATTACTCTGCCACATGATGGCTTCCAAAATGGCCCTTGCTCACTTCTCCATCTCTCTGTTCTTTCTTCATGCTTATGCCATGTCAGACTGCTTTCATTTTCTGGAATCGTTTACGTTTGCACACCTTCCAGCTCAGTCATGCTTAGATGTTGCTTTCATTGGACTACAAACTTCATTTCGCTCTAGGTATTCTTGTGTGCTGAATTTAACCTCCATCACAATATTTATACTGTGTGGTTTTTTATTTGTTTGCTCCCCTGCTAGGTCCCAAGATCTCTGTGGGCAGGAGCTGTATCTGATCACCTTTTCTCCCACTGGATAACTTAGTGCCTGTCATAGGAGGTACTCTGTAACTTGCTGTGGAATGAATGAATAAATAAGTATTTGCTATAACTGATACTGAATGACTTTTACTTAAAGATAAATTCACATAGAAGAAACAATGTAGGGGGAAATTGTGATCCTTAATAAAGTTGCAAACAGGGTTGCAAACAACCTTGGAAAAAGACTTAAAAGTCCGCAAAATAGCTCTTTTAAGAAGCATTGAATTGTGCTGCTAACCCAAAAACTACAGTTATCTGAATCCACCAGCAGTTCTGAAGGAAGGCGATGAGCAATCCACAGCCTTGGAAACCTGATGGAGAGTTGTCTGAGTCTGAAATGATTCAACTATAGTGAGTTTATGTAACGAATGTCTGCCTTGACATTATGCTTTTAAGATCTATTCATACAGTATCAAAAATAGAAAGCAGAACCATTGGAATAAACTTTCCCCCAGCCCACAATAAAAAAAAATCATGTAAAAACCCAAATCCAAATCAGAAACAGAAAGCAGAATTAGTATATATAAATTTATGTCATGATAAGGGTCCAGAATGAAGGTTGCATAGTGGCGTGGACTTGGGGGGAGGGATTGTAATAATAATGAAAGAATTTTTCTTTTACTTTTCAAAGAGAAGAGCGAATTGGGGAGGGGATGTAGGCAGGGAGAAGAGTGCAACAATGAATAAATGGAAAGCCACAGTCTCTGTAAACTTTCATTAAAATTAATAATAATAATAAAAAGAATTAGGGAGCTCTGGTGGCCTATTGGCAAGAAGCTGCACTGCAATCCCACAGGTCCGTGGTTCAAATCCACCAGATACTCTGCTTGAGAAGGAGGGACAATCTCCTCCTGTGCTAGTCAAATCCTATTTGACGGTACACACACACAAAAAAAAAGAAAAATGTTAAAAATCGGTGTAATCAATTATACTAATAAGGTAAATAAATAAATATGATCATATTGTTTGCCATAGAAAAAGCAGATAGCCAAATCTGGTACCCACTCATGATAAAATAATTCTCAACAAACAAGCGATAGACCAAAAAGTCAGCAGTTTGAGTCCACCAGACACTCTGCAAGAGAGAGGTTTACAGCCTTAGGAACCTGAGGAGAGACTGCTAATGAGTGGAGATGATTTGGCAGCAGTGTTTCCTCAATCTGAAAAAGAGCATGTACAAAAATTCTGTAGCCAACATACTTGATGGAAAAGTCTGAATGTGTCCTTCTAAAGATCAGGATCAAAAAATTAAGGATGTCTCAAGTGGGTGTAGTTACAAAGAAGTTACACAAGAAGCTTTGTGCTGATAGACATTTCTAACATTTTCTTAATGTGATATTCATCATACATAATATTCTGCCTAAAAACTGTTTTAATTGTCTGGGTGTGGTACCCTTTAAGGCACTCAGGAATAATGAAAGACTTTTTCTTTTGAAATCGCATTTGTTAATGTTTTCAGATCAGGATCAGATAACATAAATTTGCCACAGTGGTTTAGCATGGCCAACACAAAGGTGTCACTGGTTTGAATCCATACACTCCCCTGCAAGAACTATTCCTTTTTGGAGCAGTGTTCCCTCTATGGAGTGTGTCATCCTTGGACATCTCCAGTTGGTAGTGATTGTCTTTTCATTCTCACCATTCCTGCCTGGGTACCCTGCCTGCCCCCAAACCCTGGCCTAGCAAGCATAGTTGCCCTAGCCAGGCACATGGACCTAGGCTCCTGTAAAGCCAGTGAAACTCTGTCCTTCACCAGGTGTCCATCTTGGGATATCAGTCACCTGTGAAAAAAGAGAAACTCTGGCATGGCTAAGCACCCTAACTCCAAACTTCTGTTGGACTGACAGACAAATTGATTCCAGACCAGACACTTTGTCTCTACCAGCCACAGTGGTGTCAAGAGAGCCAGCCAGGTGCCCAGCCCCTTAGGGTCCCTCCCATTTCTCTCATTTTTTATTTCCCATCCCTTTTCAGATTTTTGTTACTTCTTTGACTTTTATCTTTCATATGTATGTGTCCTTGTGGTACGTGCTTTCACTAACATCTCCCTAGGTCTGCCTTGTGGGATTTGTTGGTCTTTGTGAGTCTGAGGATTTGTCAGTTTGGAAAAGTCTCATGAATTGCTGTCTCTACCACTTCAGCTTTATCTCCTAGTACTCTATTGGATGTATATTAAACTTCACTTTCTTTCCTATTTTTTCCTTGCTGTATTTTTCATGCCTCTTAATGACTTTTATATTTTTCTATCATTACCTCTGTGATATCGGTACCTTTAATTATATCCTCTGATTTACTAGTTCTATTGAAAAACAAAGCTCATTGCTGTTGAGCTATTCAAACTTGTAGTAACCCCCTATGACAGAGTAGAACTGTCTCATATGTTTTTTATCATATCATTAAAATAAATTCAGTGAACTTCTTATTTTGGTATGATACAAATTAGATGGAACATAGGAGGTGATCAGAAATAAACTTGGCCACCTTGAATACATTGTTTTTGTATGATCATGTTGTTGTTAGGTGCTATCAAGTCGAGTATGACACATAGCAACTTTAGGAACAAAAGATCTGAAACCAGTCCTGCCTTGTGCAATCCTCACACTTTCTGACACACAAGAGCCCATTGCAGCAGTCACTATGTCAGTCCACCTGGTCGAAGGTCTTCCTCTCCTTTGCTGACCCTCCACCCTTCCCAAGGAATAGCACCTCCTAGCAATATGTCCAAAGTATGTGAGGCAAAGCTTCATTATTTTTGCCCCCAAAGGGCACTCCAGCTGCACTCTCTCCAAGAAATTATCTGTTTTTGCTCTTGGCTGTCCATGGGATCTTCAGTGCTCTTCTCCAACACCACAGCTCAAAGACATCAATTCCTTTTTGGTCATCCTTATTCATTGTCCAGGTCTCGGATGCATAGCTAGTAAACGGAAAGAGTGTGGTCTAAATCGGACACATCTTAGTCCTCAAACTGACATCACTACTCAGTAATTTGGAAAGGTCCCTAACTGCAGATTTTCCCATTGCAATGTGTCTCCTTATTTCCTGACTGCTCGTACAAAGGGTGTTAATTGTAGATCCAAGCAAGATGAAGCTGTTGACAGTTTGTCTCCTCTCCATCCATCATGACGTTGCCTCTTGATCCAGTGGTAAGAATCTTTATTTTCTTGATATTAAGATGCAATCCATACTGAAGGATGCATTCCTTGATCTTCTGCAACAAGTGCTTCAAATCCTCCTCACTTTCAGCCAGCAAGGTTGTGTCATCTGCATAACGAAGGTTATTGATGAGTTTTCCTCCAATCCTGATGCCATGCTCCTCTTCATAGAGTCCAGTTTCTTGGATAATTTGCTCAGCATATAGATTGAATAGGTATGGAGACAGAATACATTCCTGATACACTCCCTTCCCAATTCCATATCATGCAGTGTTTCCTATTCCATTCACACAAGAGACTCCTTATCCAGGTAATCAAGTGCTCTGGTATTTCCATTCTTCTAAATGTCATCCACAACTTGTCATGATCCACACAGTCAAACACCTTTGCATAGTCAATAAAACACAAATAGACATTCTTCTGGCCTTTCTTACTTTGAGCCAGAATCGATCCAGCAACGATATCTCTGCTGCCATGGCCTCTTCTAAATCTCCCTTGAACTTCTGGCAGTTCCCCATCTATGTCCTGTTCCAGCCATTTTTGAATGATCTTCAGTAGTATTTTGCAAACATATGATTATCATTGATATTGTTTGATAATTTCCACACTCAGTTGGATCACCCTTCCTGAATTGTATGATTATGTTGAACAGTTATTTGTGATTGAGTATAGAATAATAGGTTCATAGGGTTTCCGGAGGCAAGCTATTTATGTATTTGTTAATTTTTTTTATATAGAAGAATATGAACTGACTTACTACTTAGTACTGAGGTATTTAATTCTGTTGTCAAAGATGTTTATGAAAGGGAAGGTTAAAAAAAAAAGTCATGTGAGCAATAAATAAAGTGTTTAAAAAAATTGCATCATGTGATATATAATAATGAGATGTTGTTTCTGCTTGGCTTGCAGCTCCAGCTCCTAGCCGATTTAATAGGCGAGTATCAGGTATGTATGTGTTTTCTTCATTACATACCACTAAAATTCCATTTTAAAACAGGATATTTTTTAAAATAAAAAGAAACAGATCTATTAAATAAAAAGATAAACTTAACAGTGTTATAGAACATTTTACTAAAAGTAAAATTATATGTAGATTTTTATATATTCTGAGTATACACATGCATATTTTTAATGTTGTTGTAACTAGTGTAGTTTGTATCTTTGCATCTGTCATTAAAATTTTTCAAGTTTGTTTTCTAAAAACTACTTTGTATGTGTTATATCATTATTTGTCTGATAGTATTTTGTTCTGTGCTATTTCCATCTTTTGTTGTATTTTAGGTTCGTTTACTATTAAATTTTTAATACAACATCTTCAGCCACTTGAATTGTATCTTCTGTGATAGAATCCAGTCATAGGAGTGGAACTCTGTGTTTGAGAGACTGAGAATTACCTTGGTTTTTCCTGTGTAGTGCTTGCTAGAGTAGCGACAGGCTGGATCTCAGGGAGTAAGGCCGCTGCACAGGCCTTTCTTCTACCACGTTCTCATCAATGTGGAAGGTGACCACGTCTCTAATTAGGGAGTTGTAATCAGAAAAATAATTTAGTTGGCTTTGTATGGCATTCCTTTTATTTTAAACAAAAGGAAAGGTTTTTCAAATATAGAATATTTATTTATACTTTCTTCTGTGGGAGTAATTTGATACTATTTTCTTAGTTTATCTGTTATTCAGAACTCCTAAAAAATAAATTTGAAATAAAGGAAAAAAACCCAAAACAAAGAAATTTGAGCAATCTTCTTTTTCATGATTAACGTAAACCTTTTGAAATTAATGGAAAATTTTTTTGATCAAATGTGTTTATTTATTTTAGAAATGACAATATTTTTCTCATAGGCATAAGTTAAAGATTCACATTTCTAAATGAAGGAAACACCAGTTAGAATTTAGATGAGAGAGAGAGAGAAAAACTACTCTTGATAATCTGTTTTAGTATTGGTTTTTGTACAATTTCACATTACTTACTAGTGACATCTGCTGGAGAACTAAAGCAAAATAAATTCCTTTTGAGGGACATCATGCTTGGGAGAGTGGAGGATTGGCGCAAGAGAGGAAGACCCTCTATGAGAGATGGACTGATTCAGTGACTGGGGTAATCGGATGGGTGTGTCAGAGGCAGTGCGATTGGCACAGGATAGAGCAGGGTTTAGGGCTGTTGTATATAGGGTCGCTATGAGTCGCAAACGACTAGATGGCACATAACAACAAACAACAACATTGTGCTTAGGATCACTGTGAGTCATAGTTGACGGCAGGTAACAATGACAACAAGGAATTATGTTGCTCCTAGCCTACATTTTCAATAGTTCTCAGTCATTTCCTGAGATACAGTGTTGTTCTTGAGACTGTAGGTGATACCACAGATTTTGGACCTACCACATGAAAATGAAGCACTGAGATAAACTCTTTGATGTGACCATAAGGGAACTGAATCAAGCAGTCACTTAACAATCTGTTTTTACAGTGAAAATGAGGGAAGTTATTTGGATCAGACCAGGAAGAGAGGGCAAAAGGAGATAAATCTAGAGCTGAAAAGAAAAGAGAAAGAAGATTCAAAACCAGTGTAAAAACATTAAGATATAACTTTGTCTACGATTTCAAAACATATTAATAAAAAGAATTCCTTTTAAGTTGTAGTTATGTATCTCTAGTCATAAACACTTTTTTGCTGCTTCTGTTAGTGTAAAAATGTAAAACTGAGCTAAGTTCACTGAAGTACTTTTCTCTAAAATTAGAGGAAAAGGAAGCTTAAAAATGGCCATCCCTAGACTACTGTATTTTTATGCAAATAAAATGCACTTTCTCTGTTTCAGCCAACTGCTCCATGACTACTGTCTCCTTAGTTTTTGTAAGCTCCTGCTATGCAAAAAATTTTTTTACATATTGCTTTACAAAAATTAGCATAATACGTTAACAAAGATATGTCTCAGGGTAGAGTCATTGGCAAACAAATATAGAAAACCTATGGTATTTGTTTGAAAATATGGGTAATTGTCATTTTAAATTAAATTCTGTTAGTCTCCTCATTTAAAGGGCTGCTTTTTTCCCCAAGCATTTTTCTTTTTTTTTATTCATAAAAATTTTATACATAGAAAAAATGTAACATCCATGTCTTCCTTATAACAACTCAGAAAACATGTCCATTTCTTCCAAAATAAAGACTTGCTAAAAACATTATTTTAAGTAGACACTTTGAAGTCCTGGACCAAGGAATGGCAATTGGAATAGACTGGCTAAAGATTACTGCTTCCTTTCTTCTGGTGGAGGCTTTAATGAACAGAAATGTCTTTTCTTAAAATGTAGGAGACTAGAAATCTGAATTCAGGGCACCAGCTCTCAGGAAGGGATCTGTTCACTCCAGGAGAAAATTCTTGTCTCAACTTCTGTAGTGTTTTTAGTAGATAGATATGAGCTCCTTTTTAAAAAATAAATTTCATTATTTTTTTGTGTATGTACTGTCAAATCAGATCTGACTGGTACAGGAGGAGATTTCTCCTCCTTCTCCAGCAGAGCATCTGGTGGATTTGAACCCTGTACCTTTGGGATTGCAGTGCAGCTTCTTGCCACTAGGCCACCAGAGCTCCCTAAGTTTTTTTTATTTCATTGTTCTCTTGTTCTCTTATTTGAGACCATTAGTCCCTAGAAAGCTAGATTTTAAGTGCTTAATGAGTGCCTGGCACTAGTGGGGATTTTATATGTTTGTTAATTTGATAAAGAAATTTTAAAAATCACTGTACATTTTGAAGAAAGCTTTCAGAAAGTAATGGATAAAAGGAAGTTATTTTCACTTACTATTTTTCATTAAAAACACACATCTGTTTAATTTTTCCCCCCTTTCTCCCAATTTTAGTCTGTGCTGAATCCTTCAACCCTGATGAGGAAGAGGAAGATACTGATCCAAGGGTAAGAACTACAGCAGGAGTGTTAATGTCCCACTGTCTCCTTCCCTCCCCACCACCAAAGTCTAATGACTCTGATAATCAGCTAGATACAAGTAAAATAGCAAGAGATGCCATTTTATAATGAGCAAATTGACAAATGGTTAAGAAGAATGAAAACAGCAGTGGTTGAAGTCATGGTAAGGAAGGGTCGCCTAGCTGTAGCTTTCAGAAACCATAAACATAGTCAAGCCAACTGACTCAGCAGTTCTACGGAATGAAAATTCATCCAAGAACTGTTGGATCTTTCCCAAGAGTCATAAGCAGGATCATTGCAGTGTTGTAATAGTGAAAAATGTAAATAACCTAAATAATTCAGAATAGGGATGGTTGTTTTGAAGCTGTCGATTAGGTTTCAACTCTGGCACAATAGAAGGAAACACCACCTAGTCATGCCCCCTGCTTATGATCACCCCTGTTCTGGAACCCATTGTTATAGCTACTACTGGTACATAATCTCCTACTGGGTCTTCTTTTTCTCTGGCCCTCTAAATTACCATGCATGATAGTAAGCATTAACAAGAATTAAATTATGGAACACTCAAATCTAGAGACACTGCCATTGAAAATAATGAGACAGGGTCTAGGTTTGTTGACATAAAATGGAATTGAGGTACATTTAATATTTAAGAGTATTTTAAAAAGTAATTTAAAACCTGTGTGTGACCGTGATGTGCCAGTCATGGTAATGGGCACCCATGGTGGACAGTGTTGGCTGGAGCTTCCCGACTAAATCAAGCCTGGAAGCAGGAGCGGCATCCACTTCCAAAATGGCTTGATTCTGGAAACTCTATGTATGAACAGTGCTCAGGCTGTTTGTTCATAGGGTCGCTATGAGTCGTCTACGACTCAATGGCATTAAACAACAATAACAATGACGACGACCAAGAGAGAGCTACGTTGGCCTAGTGGAAGGAAGCTGTGCTACCAAGCCGAAGGTGGGTGATTGTCAGCTGTGGCCCTCGGCCAGGTTCAAATTGTCTTCCTGTCAAACATTCTTCTAGGTGGTATAGCACTGGTCTGTGCGTTGCTGTACAGAGGTAACTCGTGGTTGCTGTGATGCTGAAGCCTGTGACAGTGATGTGCCAATTGTGTGGTATAGCACTGGTCTATGTGTTGCTGTACAGAGGTAACTCATGGTTGCTGTGATGCTGAGGACTGTGACAGTGATATGCCAATCGTGGTAATGGGCACCCATGGTGGACAGTGTTGGCTGGAGCTTCCCGACTAAATCAAGCCTGGAAGCAGGAGCGGCATCCACTTCCAAAATGGCTTGATTCTGGAAACTCTATGTACGAACAGTGTTCAGGCTGTTCGTTCATAGGGTCGCTATGAGTCGTCTACGACTCGATGGCATTAAACAACAACAACAGCATGTGTCTGTTTATTTATGTGCATATCAGGAGAGTTAACAGTGATTGTGAAATTACTGTAGTTGATTTTTGAGTTCTAGGTCTTTTTATTTTTTTTAAAAAATTCTATTTCGTAAGCTTTTATATAATTAATATAGATTCTTTTATGAAAACCAAAATTAAAGAATTTAGTATTTTAAAAGAAATTTTAATGATCTGTCATGTATGCCTTAAAATGAGCAGCCTGTGAAAGAGGCATTCTAATAATAAAGTGCTGCCATTGTGTGAATATAATAGACAAGTAGATTAAGACATTTTATTCTGGATACTTAAAAATTCTTGATAACTTTTAAAAGCTAAAACAGGGGTTTTTAATATTTAAAATATTTAACATTTTTTATACATTTCTTATCAAATTAAATGTAACTTAGGAAAAAGATAAAACTGAGGAGGAAGTATGATGTCTCTCAATTACAATAGCAATATTTGGTAATAGTCTTTTTTCCTAAATGTTTAGTAAATTTTTATTGAGTTTCGTTGTTGTTAAGTGCCGTCAAGTTATAGATGACTCATAGCGGCCCTATGAACGAAAGACCTGAACACTTGTATAACTTTCATCGTTTCTCCAAGTTCATAGATTTTCTGGAGTCAAGCTATTTCGAAAGTGGATGCCACTCCTGCTTCCAAGTTTGTTTTAATCAGGGAGCTCCACTAAACACCGTCCACCATGGGTAACCATTATCACATTTGACAAATCAGTGTCACAGTGTTTAGCATCACAGCAACCACGAATTACTTCTATACAGCAAATGGACAGACCAGTGCTATGCCACTTAGAAGAATGTTTGATCATTCTATAACAATAGAAACAATAATTTTGATACTGTTATTCTAAACACTTTGCATACTAATTCATTCAGTCCTCATAATGAATTAGTGTCTCTTACCATTCACCATTACCACTTAGATGTCAGTAGGCAATTCCAACTTAACATGAGCTCTTGATAATTTCTCTTTAAATAGTCTTCTCTACTCATAGTCATCCCCAGCTGCAGTTCATAGCTGCTCCATTTTCAGTTACTCAAATCTTCCCATTTTCTCATACCCACATTCAGTCTTTCAGGAAATCACTTACATACACTCTATCTTCAAAATGTATCCCAGAACCTGCTGTTTCTCAACACCTTCATGATGGCCCTGGTTGAAACCACTACCACCTATCACTGGAATAATGATTATAGCCTCCTAGTTTCTATTTTTGCCTCCTCTAGGCTATTCTTCACTCAGCAGCCAGTGTTATCCTTTTAAAATGTTTATTAGGATCCTTTTCCCCTCGAATAGTCCCCATGTTACTAGAGAAAAGTCTCAGTTCTTCCATGAATTGCAGTGCCATTTGTGATTTGATTATCACGCTTACCTTCATCCCCAGTCTCCCCTAATCTTTTCCCTCTCACTGTCTGTGTCAACCTGTCTGACAGGGTATTGCAGAAATATGCTACTGAGACTCCCACCCTAAGGTTTTGTTTTCAGTTGCTGCTCCCTCTGCCTTCAGAAGAACTCCTTCTTCAGGTGTATCCACGTGACTTACTCCTATGGCAAGCTTCACTTAAGAGCTTTGTTCAAATGTTACCTTCTCAGTGAATCTTCTCCTATCCACAATTCTTATATCACTCTCCAACATAGTTTATGTATTTATTTAGTGTGAGAATAGATATTTTTATCTGTGGATTCACTACTATGTTCCCAGAGCTAGAATAGTACCTATCAACTAGCTTGTGCTCAGTATTATTTGAACAAAGATATTTGTCACCTTTGTTATACCCACGGGGACAGTGAAGCAGAATAGCTGGTGTGCTGCTAGCCACAGAGCAGGTGATTCCCTGATTTGACTTTCTTCATCCTATGTCGTATCGGTCTTTTACTTTCAGAACACTGGTTAAGATTTATGTAGAATTAAAATTATGGTAAAAATGCTTTTATTTTTCTTGCTTTTCAAGAGAAGAAATTTACCTGTTATAAGTGAGTGATTTTTAAATGAAATAAAAGCTTTCTTTTTTTAAATCTGGATTCATAGGTGATTCATCCTAAAACTGATGAGCAGAGATGTAGACTTCAGGAAGCTTGCAAAGATATTCTCCTTTTCAAAAATCTTGATCAGGTAACGTTAACCTTTAAAAATGTTTTTGCTCCCACAGTCTTTCAGCTTTTTCCCCATTTGTCACTTAAAAATATTGTAGAATTTTTGCCAGAACCAGAGAGGTATAAAACTTTAGATATACTTTACTTAACACATGTTTTCATTGTGTTGACCATGGTCACCTGAGTTTTTCAGGTGACTTGTAGTATTTTCCTGAGCTGTTTGAGGGCTTCTCCTCAAGACAAGTATAAGTAAAAACCATATATGATCTGTGCTGTTTGGTCTTTGCAAGGAAATGAGCAGCTATGTGTGATTCTGGCTTAATTGGGAGGGCCTGGATTTATGCTGCAGTGAGTTTGGTTTCTGGGGAGATACCAGTGTGATGTTACTCTTACTGTCATTGGTAGCAGTTTACCAACCAGCAATGTGTGGCTGCTTCTCAGTGAAGACATCAGGGATGAAGCATCCTGGACGGTGTGTGTCTGTAGAACACAGAATCTATGGCCTGGACTTGACCTCTTTCTCATGGTAGATAGCAAGGACTACCCCCTGGAGACAGGGAATCTTGAGATTTCTATCTTTTTCCCTCTACTTTGGGGGCTATATATTGGATGAGCCTATTGGGAAATCGCAGAATATGCAAAGATGAGAAGGATCACAGTAAACTCCTCTTACTCTTTAGGTCTTGCAAATAAAATTATTGAGGACCTCCCCACAGCTTTCCCTGGGACAGTGACACAGCTTTACAGGTCAGACATGATCTGTCAGTCAAGGGAATCACCCATTCTTGGTTTTTATAAACTAGTCTGTTAAAGAGCTTTGTCGTTTACAGAAATAACCAATACATTCTAAATAAAACATGCATGACATCAAGAGATTAGTCTGTCAACTGTTGTCCCTGGAAAACCTATCAGTATCAGTGGGGAAAAAATTCTTCTTTTCCTACACTTAAATAAAACTTACTGTAAATTTTTACCATCAGAATCTGAAAGGAATATATAATTAGGCATTATGTGTCTGGCAACAATCTGGAACAAGAGGTGCATTGCAAATTGAACTGGGGAATGAGGAAGGGAGGGGGGAGAGGACAATGTGCAACAATTAATTTAAAAAATAGAAGCAGTTTGTCAGTTCAGAGTTTTCTTGCTCTTGGAGAATACCATTGAAATATTGAGATATGAGTGATTTTTCAGACTCAATTACATTTTTTTTCTAACATTTTATCATGAAAATAATGAAACACGCAGCAAAATTAAAAGAATTTTACAAGAACACTTATAAATCCACTGCCTAAATGCTAATTTTAACATTGTATTTTACTCTGCTTGTGATATATACATCTATCCATCCTTCATAAAAGGATTAACAAACTTTTTCTTTTTTTTTTTTTTACCATGCCAGTTTTATTCCCATTGAATATTTACACCTTGGACAGCAAACCTTGCTCACATAAAGTAGAAAACAGATACAATAAAACATGGCTTGAAAAATGACCAGAGTATGCACCTATAGTACTGTACACTAAATAAAATACACAAGGTAGCAATACTTAGGGGCCAGAAACACTGCTTACTACAAGTCAGTTATGGAATCATAATTTACAGTAAAAATGGGCACGCCCAAGGCTCAATTTATTTTTCATCATTTACAGTAGAATAAATATTTTGTTGCTATTGCTACACTTTAAATTTACATTCTAACCTATTAAATGCAGAAAGCTAGTGTAAAGCATATAGATTTAAGTGTAGGTCCCATACGTATGACAGTTTGTTCAAGACTAGTAGGTTTTTTGTATCTTTTTATTTTTATTAAATGGCTAGTGGGAAAGATTTGTGCTTGTGATCAGCTCTTAATTTCAATTTTTCAATCAAAGCGTCCCTGAAAACGATCTTTCTCATTGTACCCAATGTTTTCACCATACGCCTTACACTCAACACGAATTTCAGTGTCCATGGTGAGGTTGGTGAGCTGTACGGCCAGCAGAGGCTGCAGGTTCTTGGGCTGCAGAAGCTTGCCGTAGTAGGGGTAGTACTGCAGAGGAAAACCAGGGTAGCCGCCTAGTCCATAATATTCCACGTTTCCAACTTTATCCTTATCTTCATCGCGCTTGCCAGTGCACTGAACAGGCAGGACATAAGGATTATACTTCATCAGTGAGAAATTTTCCAAAGTCTCATTCTTGGGAGGCTTAGGTTTGAAGCCCAGAACTCGGTTGAGTTTTATGATGACACATGGTTTGCCATCTTTGTAGCCAAAACGCTCATCATTTATTCCAGAGCAGTTTCCCAACCAGTCAAGCTTGAACCTGCAGACTTTCCGCTCTCCTCGTTCATTGTTATATTCTCCTCGCTCTTTGAAGTCACTGGGCACATTGCCACAGTCTTCAAAAATCATATCATCCTTCTGGGCTGTCTCTTTGTACTTGTCCAGGAACCTAACTATGTTCAGCACATAGGGCTCATAGCTCTTGGGGTCTAATGGGCGAAAGGAAATTTCTGTCTTTTGGATCTGAGGAATCTGAGTCAGTCCTGGTGGGGCCACGCGGTCCTGATAGGTAGGCTTAAATTCACTGATGGTGAGCAGCAACACCTGGATGGTTCCGATGAAGATGCCAGCCAAGCAGCCGTAGAATATTACGTAGAAGAGAAGGATCTTAAACCAACTGCCACCGGTCCTGCCCAAAAACTCCTTTTCCTCCGAGTTCCAGATGAATTTCTTCCAGCTTCCTTCTTCCTTGGCTTTTCCCCGGGCCATGGTGGCGGGTCAGCAGATGCCGCGGAGGCTGAAGGTGGCTGACTGCGGCGCGCGCCCTGGCGTCCTCTCTGGCTGCCGCTGGCGTGCCCGGCCTGGCGCTGCACAGGCTGTCCTCGCTGCTGCAGCTGCTGCTCTCCGAGTGCGAGGCGCGCGGCGAACGAGCTGAGGCAGAGCCGGAGGAGGGGGAGGCGGCGCAGGCCACAAAATTGACTCAAACTTTTTCTTAAAGTCACATAGTAAAGATTTCTTTTGCAATTACACAGTGACCTTTGTAGCAAGAGAGCAGTTATAGATAATGCATACATGAAAAGGTGGGGCTGTGTCCCAATAAACCATTGCACAAAAATAGGCAGCAATTAGCTGACCTTCTTCAGGAGAAAGCATTACAGATAATTTGCAGATTATCAGTATTCTTGCTGTGAGGTCCTGTCTAATTGAATCAAGCTTATAGTGACCCTTTGTACAACAGATCAAGACTTCTTTCCTGTGCTTAAGCTCACTGTTGCAGTCTTGTCTCAGTCCATCTCATTGGGAGTCTTCCTTTCTTGCTCCGGTCCTCAACTTTTCCAAGCATGATGTTCTTTTCCAGAGACTGGCCCTTCCTAACAATATGCCCAAAGTATATGAGATGAATTCTCACCATCCTTACCTAAAGATGCACCCTAGTTATACTTTTCCCAAGACAGATTTTAGCAGTCCCTGGTATAGTCGGTACTCTTCACCAACATCACAATGCAGAAAATAAACATTTAAAAAATGCCACCAATTCTTATTCAGGGAGCTTGATGACATAGTTCATTGTTCTGCTAACTCAAAGACTTCACCTCTCTGGCCATTTGAATCCTCTAGTAATTCCAAGGGAGAAAAATGGGCAGTCTTCTCCTGTGTAATTTACAGCTTCAGAAACCCAGTGAAAGATCAGCTATTGATCACTTGAAGACCAGTGAGAGAGAACTGTAGTGGAAGCACACAATCACAGCTTTTCTCCCAAGGAGCAGCTGAGGGCTTTGAATGTTGGCATTTTTTGTTAGCAACCAAGTGCTTAAGCAGCAAGGCACCAGGGCTAGAATTAAGCATAGTTATTGCTTCCCCTCCCCCAGCAGATATAAATGCCATCTTTGTTCCTCTTGTGTACCCTGTAGGAACAGCTTTCTCAAGTACTTGATGCCATGTTTGAAAGGATAGTAAAAGTTGATGAGCATGTCATTGACCAAGGAGATGACGGAGACAACTTTTATGTCATAGAACGGTAAGAGAGTGACTTTTTTCATTTGCTTACCCATATTCAGACAGATTCAGGATTGGAGCAACTGCTTTATTCCAAGCTCTGTTCAATCTGGAGAGGATCTGGGAGCAGTTGGTCAGGCACCACAGCCTGCCTCTCACTATCTAATACGGTCTTGAATTCTCTGTACATGTTGTTAACGGGGAGCCACTCTTTGTAATAAAAGGTCTCTGTTGCAGGAGGTGATATATACAATGCTTTAAAATTTTGCCAGTGTTCAAGTGATTCTTTTTGAGAATAGCCATAGTGTGATACTGTCATATGAACCTTTCAGTCACATATTTTTTTGGACTTGTGTGAACGTTTACAGAGCATATTGTTTTTCTAATCATTCATGTATATTTTGTTCTATAACTTTTAAATTTAAATCATTTTTATTTTTTTTTATGTGTGTGTACCATCAAATCGGATCTGTTAAAGCATCTGGTGGATTTGAACCACGCACCTCTGGGATTGCAGTGCAGCTTCTTGCCACTAGGCCACCTGAGCTTGCCTGTTCTATAACTTTTACTACTATACCCACACTATCTGATCATCTGTCCATTTCATATTGTATTACTATATATATCTTTCTAATATATATATAATATTTATTATATATCTATATTAATTTTCTAATCCCTCCTTCTCTCACTGGTAGCTGTACTATAGTATGATTCTTTATGTTTAAACCTTTTTAAAATTTTTTTATAATAGTGTTATACAATATCTGTCCTTTTGTAATTGACTCACTTCACTTGGTATTGCCCCAGTTTCTGTGTCCCCACCCCATTTTTGCTTTGTGGCAGCTTTAATCCATGTTGGGAGAAAGGAAATATGTGGATTTGGTCTGTTTACTTCACTGTAATCTCATGGCTCTCTATCCCAGATCAACATGCTCACCAGAGTTAAATATCAGTAAGATACTTTTGCTCAATATCTTCTATTAATTTTTTGTTTTTCCCCATACTTGCAAAAAAGTTGCAGAGATAGAATAAAAATTCTCATAAATCCAAAATTCCCATATGTTAACATTTTACCACATTTGCCTTGGCATATATTTTTGAGAGTAAATTGCAGATATCATGCCTCTGTTTCTGAATGCCTCAGTGCATATTTCCTAAAAATAAGGATGTTCTCCATACATATGTACAGAATAATTAGAGCAGTCAGAACTTAACATTAGTGTAATAGTATTATTTCGTATATCTTATTAAGATTTTCCCAGTTGTTTTCCTGGTTTTTTTTTTGCTTTTGTAATTTTAATGGGAGCAGTGCTATTCATTTATTTTTTTCCTAAACACTCTTTTAATAACAACAAATCTTAATCTCTAAGTAAAAATTTTTTAAAAGGAATTTTCCCCAGGAACCAAATGAAAATGCTTACTACTCCAAACATCCAAATTCAATCTACCAAAAGCAAAACAAAATGGGAGAGGGAAGCCCACAGAGAAATATAAAGTAACAAAAACCATATTCTAGAGGTTCAGTGCATGGAGCAGCGGGGACCTTGCTGCCAGATCATCCTTAAGCAGACTTTGTGAAAACTAACACCTTAGTGCATCAAAATATACATTTTCCCCCATTTGCTTTTTTAAATTAAAAATAATAATAACAACAAAAAAGAAGAAAAATCCCTTAAGGAATTCACAACCAATTGCCTGAGTCACGATGTTGTCTAAGCGTGAAGATCAGAATGGCTGTGTGCATAGCATGCTGTGCATACAGCATGCATGGCTGGCAAGGTCATCCTCAAGGCTTAACCATCTTCCACAGTGTAAAATATCCACAGTTCCAAGTATGAAGGGACACAGTCTCCTTGGAGAATTCCACAGGACAATACAGGCGCCCAAGCTGTTTTTTATAGAGGGACAGGGCTTCTGTCAAATTGATGCAGTTCTCCTGTGTGAAGTATTTGCCATCCTGTTTCAATGCTTTCATCGACAGGACAAGAATCAGCCGGAGAAATTCCCATATGGAATCTTCCTCTGGAGATGTGGAGATTGGAACAGCTGTCAAATCATTAATCACATAATCAAACTCTCTCCATTTTTTGGCATATTTCTTCAGGACTGGAATGCAGTCTTTAATTAGAACCTGATAGCATTCTCCTTTAAGATTGTCTAAGACCTCGCCGCATGTTTTTCACATGAATTTCTTTTTTAAAATTTTTTTATTATCTTTTATTATTTATGTGTGTACTGTCAAATCAAATCTGACTGGTACAGGAGGAGATTGCCCCTCCTTCTCCAGCAAAGCATCTGGTGAATTTGAAACATGTACCTCGGATTGCAATGCACCTTCTTGCCACTAAGCCACCCGAGCTCCCTCACATGAATTTCATACACCCATCAATCACTATCTGGTCAATCTCGGCCTTGGTGACCATCTTTGGTTTCAGTTTGACTATTTCACATAAAATGCCTCCATCTCTGCCCCCCCTCCCCCTGAATCAGTACATCTTTGTCAGTGTAATCTTCTTTCCCACTGCCCATGATGGCCTGGGTGTATGCCAAATCACTCTCGGCCTAATTGACATCCCCTATGAGGATTAGAATATTTCCAGATTGCTTCGAGTGTAGAATCTTAATGTTCTGATAAGGTGAATTTTCATCATACACTACCTCGTCGATGTCATACTCCAGCAGGTGCCCATTGGCAGTGGATGCCTCCTCGAACTATGGGTGGTAATGCTTCACCCTTGCAGCACTGTCCTGACTCAGTTCTTTCATTTTTTCTTCTACTTTGTTCAAAAGACTGTAAATTTCTTTGTTGCTTTAGGCATCATTGTCATAACTCTGAAGATCCAGCAATGCCAGTCATGGGGGTAGATTCTCAACTTGGCAAAGCTGCCCTTTTTGTTGGTGTATGTTGCTAAGTAGCCATAGTCCTAGCAGGTGTGCACCGACTCTCATTCCCTGCTCCTGAAAAACGGACTGGAGGCCTTTTAGAATGGTTTCACCATCAGCTTTGGCGCTGAGCATGAAATCCAGGGTACCATTCTGTTATTTTTTTCCTTTTCAACTACAGCTCAGCTTAGATGTGGCCATTTTGGGGCATTTTGGTAAACAGCTATACAAGGGCTTGAATGGTAGGATTTGATAATTTTCAGTAGTCACACATAAAAAAATGTAGTCAGATTTTTATATATAATTCAATTTAATGTGTATATTTTTATATTAAGTCAAATATTGTCAGGGAGCTCTGGTGGCCTAGTGGCAAGAAACTGCCCTGCAATCCCAAAGGCATTCAATTCAAATCCACCAGATGCTCTGCTGGAGAAGGAGGGGCAATCTCTTCCTGCACCAGCCACATCCAATTTGATGGTGCACAACCAGAAATAAAGAGGGGGGAGGAATTTGTGTGACCTAGTTTTTAAGATCTAAGCATTTTACTGTGGGATACACTATTATGCTCTTAAAAATTTTTAATAATTCAATAATGTAGACATAAACAACTAACTATGTATTAAGAAATAAAAACCAATTAAGTGAACAAGACAACCTCCATAAGGTGATTAGCCAGTCCATTGTCACAGGAGTTTTCCTTGGGAATATGGTCTCCATTGGATATGTAGGGAGCTTCTCACAGACACTTTGTGCTCTTTTTTAATCTTCATCCAACTCATCATTGTCATCACCATCTGATGTGAGTAACCAGCCTGCAGTCTGATCTGTTGAGTTTGTCAGCCTCTGCCACCATGTCAGTTGGGAGAAGTCTTCAGCCTGATGCCTAACCTATGGATTTGGAATTTGGCAGCTTCCACTACAGAACTAAATCTCTCTATAAAGAAGCATTTTACTGGTTTTGCTCCTGTAGAAAACCCTAGCCTAGCCTTAGGCAAATGTACTATAAAAAAGCTATTGGAACTACTGATTCAATTTAGGAATGTCATATTGTATTAGGCTAAAATGCAAAAACTCTGTTGAATTTCTTTAGTCTCCTCACTGCTGTTGAGTTGAAACTGACTCACTGCTGACCCTCCATTGGATTTCCAATGCTATAAATTTCCTAGAAGAAGATTGCCATCTTGCTCCTGGTGGGTTCAAGCAGTACAAGCTCCCTACAGACTGTACCACATGAGTTGCTTTGTCTCTATGCTACCAAAGATGGACTGACAATCTCTATAATCATGTTTATATTGTATGTAGCTTATATTCATGTACTGCCTACTAGTTCATAAATGTTCTAATTATTATATTTTTTAATTAATAAAATTGTTTATCATTTTTCTAGGGGAACTTATGACATTCTAGTTACAAAAGATAACCAAACTCGTTCTGTTGGTCAATATGACAATCGTGGAAGTTTTGGAGAACTAGCTCTGATGTACAATACCCCAAGAGCTGCTACCATTGTTGCCACCTCAGAAGGCTCTCTTTGGGGACTGGTGAGTGAAGAAAATGTGACAGTATTTGCTGACATTTGTAGTGGGTTTTTTTCCACATTTACCTTGTAAGCAGAACTCAGTTTTGCACCATAAAATTAACTGATGTTTAATTCCTGAAATGAAGTAACATTATAAAGACAAGAAACTCATGATTTAGAGACATAAAGGGTACTTTACTGTTTTTTAATTATTCAAGGAAACAAAAGAAGAGGGGTTAGGAGTAGAAAGGGTATGGAATGTGGGCTCATTGCTTCCAAGAATGACTGCCACTTTACCATGCTATCAGCTATCATTAATTAACATTTTTATCAAAGATTCCATAAAAGAATCTATAAGAAAAAGGGGAAGGCAGAACAGAATTTCAGATTCTCTTGAATCTATACTTTCTAGAACCGAATGTTGTTGTTAGGTGCTAGTTGAGTACAACTCATAGCAACACTGTGAACCATAGAATTGATCCCTGTCCTATCCTGTGCCATCTTCATCATCTATGATATACTGAGCCCACTGCTGGTGGGGTCTATCTACCTTGTTAGGGGTTTTCAACTCTTTCATGATATCCCTTTCTAAGGCATAGCCTTTCCTAGCAACATGCCCAAAGTATGAGAGATAAAGCTTTGCTGTATTTGCCTCCAAGAAGAACTTTGTTGTTGTTGTTATGTGCCGTTGAGTCGCCTGTGATTCATAGTGATCCTGTGTACAACAGCCCTAAACCCCACTCTATCCTGTGCCAATCTTATTGTCTCCTACAAATCTATTCCTGTTACTCCACTTACTGAATCAATCCATCTCATTGAGCATCTTCCTCTCCTGCACTGTCCCTCTACCCTCCCAAACATGACGTTTCTTTCCAAGGACTGACTCTACCTTGCAACATGTCCAAAGTATGTCAGATGAAACTTCAGAATCCTTGCCTGCAAGGAGCAGCCTGGCTTCCCCCTCTCCAGGACAAACTTGTTTGTTCTCCTAGCAGTCCATGGTATATTCAATACTTGTCTCCAGCACTTTTTCCAAGAAATAGCTGTTTGGTTTTTTGGCAGTCCATGAAATATCCAGTACTCTTCTCCAGCACTACAACTCTAAGGCATTAATTTTTCTATTATCCTTATTCATTGTCCACCTTTCAAATGTGTAGCAAGTGATTGAAAAGATTATGGCCTGAATCAGAAACACTTCAGTCTTCAAATTGATATCATTACTCTTCAGTATTTTGGAGAGGTCCCTGAAAGCAGACGTTCCCGGTGCAAAACATCTGATCTCCCGACTACTGGTATCAAGGGTGTTGATTGTTGATCCAAGCAAGATGAAATCATTGACAACTTCAGTCCTTTGTCTATCATAATGTTGCCTGTTGGTCCAATGGTGAGGACCATTTTCCCCCCACACATTTCAGTCACTTAATTATGCTTTCCTCAGGCCTGAAACTGTGTAGGCTGGGTGAACCCTTCAATAATAGAGAGTACTTTGTGATAATTCCTAAACCAAAAGTATCCCTGAAGTTTTCTTAAGCCCAGTAAAGAATGTCCTGCCCCACCCTAAATGATCCTGGAAATTGAGAGGTACAAAGGCTTAAGGATGGAGAACATTATGCTGAGTGAAATATCCCAGTCACAAAAGGACAAATATTACATGATGCCACTGTTGTAGAATGGGACTGTCCTTGGGGTTGGGGAGAGACTGAGTAAGATGGGTTCAATAATGTATACTGCACTGAAACAGAGGAGGGAGAGAACCGTCTAAAAGAGAGATGTAACTGGGTATTTCTGTCATCACAGGAGACTAGAGCGAGGGCTGCATGGTGGAGGGGACCTGGGGGAGTGTTTGTAAAACAATGAAAGAATCTTTTCTTTTACTTTTCCATAATTTTTGGACTCATGTACTTATAACTTGTTAGTCAAATTTGTGTCTTCTAGGTTGCAACACCCCCATGATACATCTTCAAGGATATAAACATGTACGGCCAAGCACAATCAATAAGAGTGCATCTAAATTCCAAAATCAATCTCCATAATAGTCTATGTGTTTCCTACTGCCAAAGGGGCCCTTTAGAGTAGTGAGAGAAGATCTTCACCCTGAAACCCACAGCGTCCCTTTTCAGCAGGAAGTAGCTAAGAGAATACGCCGTCCCCTTTTCCTTATGACTCAGGGTGAAGTCTCTCTCAGGGAGGAGTGATAGGGAATGGCAAAGGATACACTGACAAAGAAGATTAATCAGAACTGGCTTTGACAAGCACTGTGGCATTTGGACAAGAACAAACTGGGAGGAGGGTAGAGAGAATAGTGCAACAATGAATGAGTGGAAGCCCAAAATCTCTGTAAATGTTTATGAAAATTAATAAAATATAATTATAGAAAAAAAAACCACCAAAGACCAAAAAAAAAATAAAAAAAAATGTAACATTATTTATCTAAAAAAAAAAACCAACAAAGGCTTAAGGATAAGCAGGCATTCTTATAAACCAAGTGGTTGAAATATATCAAGAACAGAACCAAACTTTGCCCTGTCGGCATCGTCCTCATGATCTCCACCGTGAGGATGAAGGTCAGTGCATTCTAGGTTAGTGTTAAAGTCACTGTGTCAATCTGTCTTCTTGAGAATCTCTTTCTCTGGCCCTCCACCTTTTCCAGCATGATAGCTTTTTCCAGCAACCGGCCCCTCCTGATATCTTTGCCTGAAGACAATATTTCACCATTCTTGTCTCTAAATAACAACTTGGCTGCTCTTCCTCCAAGACAGACATGTTTATTCCATGAGATACTCATTACTCTTTTTTTTATTTTTTTTTTTATTATTTTTGTGTGTGTGTGCCGTCAAATCAGATCTGACTGGTACAGGAGGAGACTGTCCCTCCTTCCCCGGCAGAGCATCTGGTGGATTCGAACTGTGCGCCTCTGGGATTGTAGTTGCAGCTCCTTGCCACTAGGCCACCAGAGCTCCCCTTCATTACTCTTTTGCAACACCACAATTCAAAGACATCAGTTCTTCTTTAGTCTACCTTAGTCATTGTCCCACTTTCAGATACATTGGAAGCAGTTGAAAATACCATGATTTGAAGCAGGCACACCTTGGGCTTTAAACTGACATCCTTGCTCTTTAGTATTTTAAAGAAGTCATTGACAACCAGTTTTCCCCAATGCAACATGTCTTTTGATTTATTAACTGCTGTTGCCATGAGTATTGACTTTGGATTCAAGTAAAATAAAATTGTTGACAGCTTCAGTCTTTTCTCAATCTATCATGACATTTTCTGTTGGTCCAGTAATGAAGATTTTTATTTCTTTGATGTTGAGATGGAATCCATATTGACGGCTATAACTGTTGATCTTCTACTGTCAGTGCTTCTCTAGTAGGCAAGGTTATGTCCTGTGCATAGCACAGGTCATAGTATAGGAAACAAGCGTTAAAACAAACAAACAAACAAAAAGAAAAAAACATAAAAACTCTAGAAAGTGGATAGGAAAAGGTGGCCTGTCTAGGAAGCTCAAGACACAGCAATGAATTATCTTGTTTTTCCTTATTTATTTCCCACATATGGTAGATGAGGTGCTGGAAGAACTTGCGACCCAAAATTTCCAACAGGTGTAGACGAAATTGTTCCCAAGAAAAGATTGATCAGGTGATAAAAACCTCCCTTGCATCCTGTTAAACAATAAGTAATGATTTTTTTCATGTCCTTAGTCTGTAATAACCTCTAATCTATTCTCTGTCTCTATAAACTTTTTACGTAAGATATTTCATTTAAGTGGGATCTTGTAATATTTGTCCTTTTGTGTCTAACTTACTTTACTCTGCTTGTTTTCATAGTTTATTTACTTCTCTGCTGATGAGTAGATGAGTTGAAACTTTCCACCTTTTTGCTGTCATAAATAATTTTGCTGTGAACACTGGTGTACAAGTATTAGAGTGGAATTGACTATAATTAACTTATTCAAAAATTCACCAAACTCTTTTCCACATTAGCAGCTGTACTGTTTTACATCCCGAGAAATACATAAGCCTTACAATTAGTCCACATCCTTATCAGCACCTTTTAATTTTCTGTTTGTTTAATAATATCCATTCTAATAGATAAAGTACATTCTAGTGTAAGTTTCAGAGTTTCCTCTGGCACCCATTTTGGTCTTTTCTTTCTCCTCTGTCTTTGTAATGACCTTTGGCTTCCTTCATAGATTATGTCCAAGATAACTTCCCATAATTCATCTCATACTTGATCATCAGTATTCACTGTATTGAATATATTCTTGAGATAGTTTTAAAATTCAATTGGAATAGATTCAAGGTTGTATTTTGGGTTTCATGTGCTTGTTTTCATTTTCTTCCGCTTAAATTTGAACTTGCACATGCAGAATTCTAGAACACTTAACTGTGCTTATCAGAAACATATCCATAGACCAAGAAGCAATTGTTTGACTAGAATAAGGTAATACTCCTTGGTTTAAAAGAAGGAAAGATGTACATAAGGATTACAACCTTTCTCCATACCTGTTCAATCTATATTCTGAACAAATCATTGTAGAACTTGGACTCTGAAGAAAAAGGTGGCATCAGCATTTAAGGAAACGTCTTAAATGTCCTATATTATGCAGATGTCACAACCTTACTTGCAGAAAGTGAAGAAGACTTGAAGCATTTACTGCCGAATATCAAAGACAATTCAGTATAGATTCTATCTTAACATTTAAGAAAACAAAAATCCTTATTATTGGACCAGTGGACAGCAATCATGATAGATGAAAAAGAGATTGAAATTGTCAAAAATTCCATGGATTTAACTGGATAAGGTCAACATCCATGGTAATTAATAGCCGTTAAAAAACAAAAGATGCATAGCATTGGTAAAAGTGGCTGTCAAAAATCTGTTCTAACGTGCCAAAGAGCAATGATATTAGTGAAAGCCCAAGGTGCACCTGATCTAAGCCATAGTATTACAGTTGCTTCCTATACATCTGAAAGCTGGACAGTGAATAAGAATGATAGGAAAAGGATCAGTGTGTTTGAATTGTGGTGTTGGAAAAGAGTACTAAATATCCTATTGCTGTTAGCTCCTGTAGAGTCAAGTACAACTCATAGCAACCTTATGAACAACAGATCTGAGTTTTGTCCTATCCTGTGTCATCCTCATTATCTCTGACACAACTTCATCCTATTGCTACAGTCACTGTCTCTACGCATCTCACCTCCACCTTTCTAAGCATGATGTTGCTAGTTGATCCAGTGGTGAGGATATTTGTCATCTTGATGTTGAGATGCAATCCATATTGAAGTGTATAGTCTTTGATCTTCTGCAGCAACATGTAGCCTTTCCTAGCAACATGCCCATGCCCATGAAATGTTCCCCTGCTCTATTTGCACAACAGTCCTTGGTCTAGGTGTAGATTTCACATGAACACAATTAAGTGTTCTAGGATTCCCATTATTCTCAATGTTAGCCATAATTTGTTAAGATTCACACAGTCAGATGCCTTTGCATAACTAATAAAGCACAAACAGACATTCTTCTAGTATTCTCTGCTTTCAGCCAGTACCCATCCGACATCAGCAGTGATGACGTTGGTGCCATGGCCTCATCTAAATTCTTCTTGATCTCCTAGTAGTTCTGTCTAGGTACTGTTTTAGCCTCTTTTGGATAATCTTCAGCAATATTTTGCTTGCATGTGATATTAGTGATAATTGTTTGATAATTTTCTTAGGAATGAGAATAAATATGGATCTCTTCCAGCCAGTCAGCCAGGCAGCTTTCCTTCAAATTTCCTAGCATAAACTAGTGAGCACGACCTGGGCTTCATCTGTTAGTTGAAATATGTCAATTGGTAGCCCATTGATTCCTGGGGCCTTAGTTTTTGCTATTACTGTCAATATAGCTTGAACTTCCTTCATTATCATTGGTTCTTGATCATATGCTACTTCCTGAAATATTTCATTGTTGGCGACTATGAGTTGTACTGAACTCAATGGCACCTAACAACAACAAGCGATGTGCCCAAAGTATGTAGATCAAGCTTCACCATTCTTACCGCCAAGGAGAACACTGGCTGCACTGTTTGCAAGACCTATCTGTTTGTTTTTTGGCAATCCATGGGATATTCAGCATTCTTCTTTACCACCATAATTCAAAGGCTTTAATTTTTCTTTTGTTATCTGTATTCATTGTCCAGCTCTCAGACTCACAGCAAGTGATTGAAAAGATCATGCCCTGAATCAGGCGCACCCTAGACTTCAAACTGACATCTTTGTTTCTCAGTAATTTGGAGTGGTCCCTGACAGCAGACTTACCAGTGCAATACATCCCCTGATCTCCTGACTGCTGTTACCAAGGATGTTGACTGCGGATCCACATAAGATGCAATTGTTGCTAATTTTTTTCTCCATCTATGGTTATGTTGCTTATTGATTCAGTGGTGAGGATATTTGTCATCTTGATGTTGAGATGCAATCCATATTGAAATCTGTAGTTTTTGATCTTCTGCAGCAAGCATTTCAAGTTCTCCTCACTTTGAACAAGGAAGGTTGTGTGATCTGCATAATGCAGGTTATTGGTGAGTCTTCCTCTGCTCCTGATGCCACATTTTTCTTTATAGAGCCTAGCTTCTCAAATTATTTGCTTAGCATACAGATTGAATAGATAATGGAAAAGATACAATTCAGCTATGTACCTTTATTGATTTTAGACCATGCAATCTTCCCTTGTATTGTTCTGACAATAGGTTCTTCTTTCCCCCACTTCTTTGTGCAGTTGTGCTGCTGCTGGATTATCACCTAGCGTAGATTTTCTGCCAACAGTCTTTCCTTAGATATATGTCTCTGTTCTTTTTTTTATTTTTTTAAATAATTTTAATGAACACTTACAGAGAATTTGGATTTCCATTCATTCATTGCGACAATAGATTCTTAAAGTAGGTTTTGTGATGATCATGGGATTATTCCGTGGATTTCCAAACAGAACATATGAGTCAGTCTTGGAGGAAGTGCAGCCAACGATTTCTTTAGAGGCCAGGATGATGAAACTGAGTCTCATACTTTGGGCATATTGTTAAGCAGGGCCAGTTCAACACTATATCTATCCTATATATCCTATACCCAGAAAGCCAAATACCATGATCATGAACATGGTTTTCTCAGGGCAAGGCTTATCCACTCCACTCCAGGTGCTGACCCCTGTGATTTTCCCAAGTGTGGGAAACTTGAATGCATAATTTGTGATAGTGGGGGCACTGTGTTTGTGCTTTCCCTTTAAAATAAAAAATAAAAAGGGCCAGTCCTTAGGAAAAAACATCATGCTTGGAAAAGTGGAAGGTCAGGGACAGAGAGGAAGAACCTCATGAGATGGATCAACACAGTGACTGTACCAGTGGACTCAAGCATATTAGAAATCATGAAGATGGTTAAGACAAGGCAAGATTCACATTTGTTGTTCATAGGGTTTCTGTAAATTGTAGTTAGCTCAACAGCATCTACCGACAATAGCATATCTTTTTTGTTTTGTTTTCCCTATATGTCTTGTCTCATCTCACTGAGATTGTAAACTCTCTGAAGGCAAAAACAATCGGACTGCATTATCTCCTTTTTTTGTGGAAGATACAACATTTGACATTGAAAAGTGATTGTGACACCTGCCACAAAGGATTTTTGATTAGGAATTTTACTTTTTATTCTACTGTTGACCAATAGGTGGCACTCATTACACAGCAATTGACAGCACATGTGCTAGCTGCCTGGCTTAATAAGCTTCATCTTTTACTTCTAGGGGTAATTCTTAAATGGAAATCTTATTCTTCTAAACAGTTCATAGACTGTATTACACCATGCCCTAATATTTGCCTGAAGCCAAATTAATTAAGCCATAGAGATTCTCTTACATAGTAACTCACCAGTATTTTCATATTTTTTTTTCTTAATAGGATCGGGTGACTTTTAGAAGAATCATAGTGAAAAACAATGCGAAGAAGAGGAGGATGTTTGAATCATTTATTGAATCTGTGCCCCTTCTTAAATCGCTTGAGGTAAAGTCTGAATAAAAATGCAGTTATAGGAATTTAGGAAAATATTATTTTGTTGGATTTTTCAAAACAAGTTATTCTAATCAATTTTCCCAACTTTTGTTAAGATCTTTTCCTTGTAAATGATGAATGTGTTTGTTGTTTCAGGTGTCAGAACGAATGAAGATTGTGGACGTAATAGGAGAGAAGGTCTACAAGGATGGAGAGCGTATCATCACTCAGGTGATCCAGCAACATTTGTCTCACAAAACTTTTCATGTCCTCCCGTAGTTAAGAGTGCATGCTGTCACTTAGCAAGTCATACTTCCTGCAGAGTTCTCTGAAGCCCTTTGGTGTCTCCCTCATTGACATGCAAGTCTCTTGACCTCATTCACCTTTCCATAGCCTCCAGTCTGTGTTCTTTAAGATAGCATTTTCTTTTAATTCTGGAGAAACCTCATTTATCAGTGTTAAAACCTTGAAAAGGTTAGAAGTTTGTACTCTCTACCTTTTGCACAAAGGTGCCCTTAGTATGCAGTCTTTAGTGTTTCACCAGATTTGTAAGATGTCATTAATATTTCCTTTATGCCTTGTTCTCCTACTGGTTTTAGGTATAGTAAAGACCATCAAACAGGTCTTAACCTTTTAATGAGTACTGTATAATAGACCCCTCTGGTGGCCTAGTGACAAGAAGTTGTGCTGCAATCTCAAAGGCCTTGGTTTGAGGCCATCAGCTGTTCTGTGGGAGAAGGATGGGCAGTCTCTTCTCATTTATTTACTGCCTGTGAAAACCTTCCAGAGGGTTGGCTATGGGTTGGTTCTGACTCTGCGGTATACAGCAACAGCTGTGTAATAGGTTTTCCTTTGCTATTGTGTTTGCATTTTTAGTAATATGTAAAAAGTACTAAAGGTTTATCTTGGTGTAAGCTTCTTTAGCTATGCTTCTGATAAGAGCACTAAAAAGAAATACCGTTGTTCTGGATGGAGATGATGAATTTTACTGCTTTGATGGCCTATTCTATAAGGATTTGCAGTGCTAACTGAAAGGCCCCACCTCTCTGATGGTTTGAACCTACCAGTGGCTCTTTTGGGGGGAAAAGATGAGCAGCTTCGTGCCATGTGATTTACAGCCTCAGAAACCCAGTGGAGGGTCTGTTCTGAGTTGGTTCTTTCTCGATGACAATGGGTTGAGTTCTTGGTGGGGTGATGTGCTCAGTCCCAGGACAAGGAAAGACTAAAATTGATCAGGCTTAGTTCCTAGGCCAAACCGCAGGGCCTGTGGTCAACTTGGAGCATCAGCCCTATCAGAAACACAAGATACAATCAAGCTTATCAAAGAAAAGGAGAGGAAGTGGGGAGGCTCTGACGTAAAGCACTAAAGGAATACCAAAAAAACCCTGCCTGTCTACCTTCAGATGAAATTACGAACAAAATCGTATGTATGCTATACAAGTGAAATAATTATCCAGCCACAAAAAAAGAATGATCTTTTGATACATGCTACAGCATAAATCTTTAAAATATGCTAAGTATAATAAACCAGACAAAAGAAAAGATTGTATGATTCCATTTATATGACTTAGCCACCACTACCCACAATAACCAGTAGTATCAAGTCACCTCTGTCTCATGGTCACTCTCTGTGGGTTAGAATACAATTGTGCTGCATAAGTTTTTCAAGGGCTAATTTTTCAAATGTAAATCATCAGACCTTTCTTGTGAGGTTCCTCTGGGTGAATTTATATCTCCAGGCTTTCAGTGTGCAGCCAGCCATGTCAGCTATTTGCCTCTCTCAGGGACTCCTTGAACCATCTTGTTATTCGTGCCATCTGGTTTGCTCCCACTCACAGCAACACATGTACCACAGAACCAAACAGTGCCTGATCTTGCACCAGCCCCACAGCCCTGCTGAGTCTGTGTCCATTCTTACAGCCACTGTGTTGGTCCATCTCTTTGAGAGTCTTCTTTTTCACACTGTGCAACATAGTTAAAGTCATAGAGAACAGAAAATAGTATAGTGGTTACTTGGGGAGGAGGAGACAAAAATAGGAGTTACTTTTTAGGGGGTTCAGAGGTTTTTAGGGTCATTAAAAGGTTTTGGAAAATTTAGTTAGTGGTGAACATGGCACAAACTGTAATATTATTAGTGCCGTGAAGTAAACATTTACAAATAGAAAAATGATAACTTCAGTGTTGTTATTGCATTTATGTGCCCTTGAGTTACTTGCGATTCATAGCAACCCTATATACAACAGCTCTGAATCCTGCTCTATCTTGAGCCAACCTCATTGTCCCTGACATTCCTACCCCCATTACCCCAGTCACTGAATCAATCCATCTTATCCGGGGTCCTCTCTTGTACTATCCCTCCACCCTTCCAAGCATGATTTCTCTCTCTCTGAGGATTGGTCCCACCTTGCAACATGTCCAAAATATGTCAGATGGAACTTCAAAAGCCTTGCCTCTAAGCAGCAGCCTGATTTCACCCTTTCCAGGATGAACCTGTTTGTTTTCCTAGCAGTCTATGGTGTATTCAGTACTCTTCTCTAGCACCACAGCCCAGAGACATCAATTCTTCTCTCATCCTTAATCATTGTCCAGCTTTCTGATCTATAGCAAGTAATTGCCAAGACCATGGCTTGAATCAGATGCACCTTAGTCTCTAGACTGACACTGTTCCTCTTGAGTACTCTAGAGAGGTCCCTGAAAGCAGATTTCCCCATTGCAATTTGTCTTTTGGTTTCCTGGCTAGTGTTACCAAGAGTGTTGATTGTGCAGCCAAGCAAGCTTAAACTGTTAACAATCTCAGTCTCTTCTCTATCGTGATGCTGCCAATTTGCCCAGTGATGAGAATCTTTGTTTTCTTGATGCTGAGCTTCAATCCATATTGATGGCTGTATCCTTGACCTTCGACAGCAAATGCCTCAAGTCCTCCTCAGTTTCTGCAAGCAGGGTTGTATCATCTGCATAACACAAGTTGATGAGTTTTCCTCCAATCCTTTTGCCACACTCCTTCTCACAGAGCCCAGCCTCCCAGATAATCTGCTCTGCATATAGATTGAAAAGGTACAGAGATAGGGTGCATCCCTCGTGTATACCTTTCCTGATTTTAAATGGGATTTTCTAACATTGGCTATAATATCCCTAGTGCCATGGCCTCTTCTAAACCCAGCGTTTAATGTTACTTCACCATAATACAAAAACAAGGAAAACTGGGAGGTGGGGAGGCACAGGGAAGAAAATGTGCAACAGTGAATGAATGGAAATACAAGTTCTCTATAAACTTTCATTAAAATCTCAATCAAAAAAACAAGGAAAACTGACTTTTTAAAGTGATATCTCGAAATATCTTTGTATTCTGGATGCTTTTACTACTATTAGTAATGCATTTAATTAGACATTTGCTTACATCTACAAAATTTCATTCAGATACACAGTAGGGCCAAATGTAGCAAGTACTGTAATGAAAGTACGAACATACAAAAAGAAAGTCGTCTGTATGGCTTTCTAGAGAAGTTGCATTTGAACTGAGCCCAAATTCAGCAAGTGGGTTTAGGGCAAGGGAATAAAATGAACAGAGCCTGAGGCTTTGAACTGTTTTTCAGGGTAGCTAGCTACATCCTATCTAACAAAGGACTAATCTCTAAAATCTGTAAAAACAACAAGAAAAAAACTTTCTACTTCAAAAGAGACAAAAGAGTTGAGCAGACACTTCGTCAAAGAAGACATTAAAATGTTCAACAGATAACATGAAGAGATGCGTGTACTCATTAGCCATTAGTGATGACAGATAATACCATAACTTGGTTGGTGCACACTTTCGTCTTTAGAATGACATCTTTATTTTTTAACGCTTTAAAGAGATCTTTTTCAGTAGATTTATCCAATGAAATATGCCATTTGATTTCTTGACTGTTGCTTCCATTGGTGTTCCACATATCCAAATAAAATGGAATTTTTGACAACTTTAATATTTTCTCATTTTATTATGATGTTGCTTATTGGTCCATTTGTGAAGATTTTTCTTTTTTTTTTTTACATTGAGATAAAATCCATACTGAAGGCTGTAGTCTTTGATTTCCATCAATAAATGCTTCAAGTCTTTGCTTTCAGCAAGGAAGATTATCATCTTTGTATCACAAGATGTTGAGTCTTCCTTTCATCCTGTTACCATATTCTTCATTATATATTCCAACTTCTTAGATTATTTGCTTAGCATACAGGTTGAATAAATAAGAAACAAACATATGAGGCATACAGAATGAATAAGTATAAGACCATAAGGCACACCTTTCCAGATTTTAAACAGTACAATGTCTCTTATAGTTAAATAACTGTCTCTTGGATTACATCTTGTACAGTTTCAAATAAGCATAATGTAGTGCTCTAGAATATTCATTCTTTACAGTGTTATCCATAATTTGTTATGATTCACATCATTGAATGCTTTTGCATAATCTTATAAAATACAGGTGAACTTCTTTCTCATAATCTCTGCTTTCAGGCAAGATCCATCTGTTATAAGCAGTAATTTCCTTTGTTCCATATCCTCTTCTGAAACTGGTAGGATTGCTGGCAGCCATATTTTTAGCATGCTTTAAGAATTCAACTATGTTGTGAATATCAGTAGATTAGTGAATTGGGGTTTTCAATTAATATTTAATTGTATGAGTGAACCATAATTTGTTAATAAGATTCACCAGTTGAGGGGCATTTAAGTTCTTTCTAGTTTTTGGTAATCATAAATAACGCTCCCTTCTTTTGAATATATAATTAGTATAATGGGATTGCTGGATTAAATGGTATTCCCATTCCCACTTTCTGAAGAAGTACCAAACTACTTTCCATAGTGGTTACACTATTTTACCTTCCCACCGAGAGCATTATGCTCTTTAAAGATTTATCAGTATGGCATCAAAATTACAGTAATAACTCAGAAGTTTGTATGGGCTCCCTCAGGAGCAGTTCCATTTCATGGTTACATTCCAGTCACCACAGCAACATGCAAACATTTCAGTCCCCACAATAAAGCATATGAAGACAAAGGGTGTCCACCTCTGAGTAACATATTTAGCACTGCAGTTTAGAAGTTTCATAGTTAGCACTTAAAAGTAAGCCCATTTCTTTCTCAAAAAAGTTGGAAATAGAAATACCATTTGAACTGCTAGTTCCACTACTGGGAATATACCCTAAAGAAATCATAACTGCCACCCAAGCAGATATATTCACACCCATGTCTATTG